TGAATATCCCCGTCCCGCGCGCCCCCGCGCCTCGCCACCCCACACACCCACACACCCCACACTCGCACATACAGGACCAACCCGGCGTTCAATCCGCAAAAGAAAAGAAAAAAGGGAATGAGGAGACCGGCGGGGGAGACTCCCCGCCTGCGCAACACCCCGGAGAGGGGCTGCCATCGCCGAAGCAACCCGATCGGAGAGCTCGTAGTCATGGTAGTATTCAGCGCGCCATCTGCATCTCGCCCGAGACGGCCCGCTCTGGCCCTGTCGGCCTTCCCAGACACCTTGTCGAGGCTGTACAGAGTGCCGAGAGCATGCTGGGCAGGCTCCCGTCGAGCTGGCTCGTCGCGGTTCGCGAGCTCGAAGACCCGCGCAGAGCGTCGTCGAGCCTGGCGGGCCCGATGCACGCCCGCGGCCGCAGGCAAGGAAGGCGAGCTTCCTGGCGTCTATGCCAAGCGCGCACATGCCAAAAGACACCTCGCAGCGCGCGTGACGTGACCGCACGCCTCGGCGCCGCGAGAGCAGCCGGTCGACGTCGGCACCAAGCGCGCGGCCGCCGGGCGCCTCCGAACCGACAGGGGCGCCGCGGCAGTAGCAATACGCTTATTTATCGCCCATACACCTCCTAGGAACCACAAATCCACGAAACTTATGGCGGCGTCGCCACGCCTTCCCAACGCGACGCACCACCGCCTGTCGTCTCTCGTCGTTTGCTGTGCGCCCGCGCCCTCGTGCAAGCTCGTGAGCCGCTGCGCCGACGTGCCCGGACCGCGCCGCTGCGAGAGCGCCATAGAGGCTGGCGCCGCCGCTGTCACTGGCGGCGGTGAGAGCATCACTGGCGCCAGCGGAGTGAGCCCCTGCGTGTGGCTTGGCGGCGCGTGCGTCGCGGCCGATGCGTCCGACTGCGCGGAGCCGTGGTTGGCGGGCGAGAGCGACTACTACGGCGAGGAGCGCGCCTTTGACGGGGCTCTGTGCGGGACCGGCACCGGCGTCACCTCGGGCGCTGTCGTCGGCGAGGCGCAACCGATCATTGCAGGCGGGGGCGCCTGCACCGGCTTCGCAGACGCCTTGCGCGAGTATGGCCAGCGGCACGCCGCCGCGCTCCGCAAGGCGACGCCGCCGGGCGCCGGCGACGCAAAGGGCGACCACTCTCGGGCTGGTCGTCCGGGACCAGTGGGTGAACCCTCTCGGAACCTTCTCGGAACCTTCCGTGCAGGTGCGAGGCTGCTTGTCGTCCGGGACCACTGGGTGAACGTGGGGATGGGCTTCATGCCCCAGCACGCCTCGGAGGTGCTACATGCGTGCATGGCGGCGGGCATCTACCTCTACTTTGAAAACTACGGCCGGTGCGCTCTCAACGAGAGACTCGCGGCCACGGCGCGATCAGTCCACATCCGTCGATGAATGCACTTCTCAGGTACGACTGGCAAGAGTTCTTCTTCGGCCACGGCGGGCTCTCGACCCGCTGGACAGAGGCGCAGGAGGCGGCGTTCACAGTGCGACGCCGTGAAGAGTTGCCGCTCACAGCTCTGGTGTGCTGATGGACACAGGCGCGCAAGGCGCTGTGGGCTCGGCGTTTCGCAGGGCTTGGCGGGCCTCACGTCATCGAGGTGAATCTCGGAGAATCTCGGAGAATCTCGGAGAACCTCGGAGAACCTCGGAGAACGTCCGAGAACGTCCGAGAACCTTGGAGAATTCCTCACGTCATCGAGGTCAAGCACACACACACACACGCACGCACGCACGCACGCACGCACGCACGCACACACACACACACACACACACACACACACACACACACGCACACACACACACACACACACACACACACACACACACACACACACACACACACACACACACACACACACACGCTGGTCGCGCGCCAAATGCGCAGCAGCTGCTGCTGCTGTGAGCAGGTGAAGCGCGAGGACGGCTCGGGGATCGGGGACGAGGAGTGGGAGGCGTCGCTGAGCAGATGCGGAGTGATCCGACACGCACTCGAGACCCGCCACGCACTCTTCTGCCCCGCGGCTGCACTGCAGCGGCGTCCACCGCATTCCAGCGGCACCTCGTAGCGCGTGCCCCGGCGCGACCGCGTACAGACGGCACTCGCCCCTTCGCGCCCTGACCTTTGGTGTACTCACGCCCGAGGCGTCGCTCACGGCGGCCCTCGCCAACACGTCCATCCGGCACATCCAGCTCAACGGCTGGGCCACGACGGTGCGGAGATCTGCGGAGATCTGGGGAGAGATAGGGAGATGTCCAGCTCAACGGCTGGGCCACGACAGCACAGATCTGCCGCGGGGACGCGCGCGCGGCACGCTCCGGTGGCGAGACGGGCGTCCGCACACCCCGCGCCGCGCTTCTAGCGCGCACGGGCGGCAAGACTGTGCACACGACGGCCGACGCATCGCGACCCGACACCGCCCGGATCGGCGACACACACAGGTGCACTATCGGCGCGTCCTCGCCCCCGCCCTGGCAGCACTGCGCGGCTCGGGCGCGCTTCGGCGCCGCCTCCCCGCAGCTCGCTTCACAGCCCGCCTCTTCACAGCGCCGGGGTGTGAACGCAGGCGCTCCGGCGCCGCCTCCCGCGCAGCGCGTGCACGCCCCGCCGCCTCACGCGGAGCTGTGAGCACAGGTGCGCTCGCGCCGCCTCGCCCGCTCCCGCGCGGCGCGTGGTCGTCGCTGGTCGGCGGCGCGCGCGCGTCGAGGCTGCCGCTGCCGGCGAGGTACGACCCTCCGGCGTGCGGGCACTGCTCGCTCTGGTCGCTGTTTCGCCCACGGCGCCTGATGCGCGACGCGCTGCGCAGCACGCCCGTCGCCGCGTCCGCGCCGCTCGCCTGCCTCAAGGCGCGAGATCGCGCGAGATCGCGCGAGAGACGCGCGAGAGACGCGCGAGAGGCAGACGCGCGGGGCCGTCCGAGAGTGTCCGAGACCGCGCGCCGCCCGTGTGGGCTTCGGGGCGCGAGACTGGCCGAGACCCTCGCCGCGAGGCTGTCCGAGATGTGCGAGAGTGCGACGCAAGGCGCGCACGCTCTACGCCGAGGACAAGGAGTTCTGGCCCGACTCTCTGCCGCTCACCCTTGCCGCCGCCGACAAGCTGTGGACGTCGTACCCCGAGCGAATGGGCGCGACGGCGCAGTCCGCTGGCCGCGCGGCCGCGCCGGGCTCCATCACCCAGAGGCGGCGGACCCGACTAGGCGACGGAAGCGCTTCCCGGGGCTGCGGCCACGCCCGAGCCAGCCTTGCGTGAGCAGCCAGTTGGCGGCCTACTAGGCGACGATACAGCCGAGATATAGCCGAGATATGGCCGAGATATGGCCGAGATATGGCCGAGATACAGCCAGGGTGAGCAGCCAGTTGACTAGGCGAAGATATACCTTCCTAGGGATCCGCGAGGTGTGGCGAGGTGTGGCGAGATGTGGCGAGATGTGGCGAGCTAGGCGACAACTCCTTCTGGGGGCCGCGGCCCCGCCTGCGCTGTCTGGCGACCGGCGGAGCGCAGCTCTCGCGGCCTCGCGGGCGGCGGCTCCGGCGGCAGAAGGGCGGCGGCGGCGGCGGCGGAGGCCGCGGAGGCGGAGGAGGAGGCGGCGGCGGCGGCGGCAGAGGTGGCGGCGGAGGCGGCGGGGGAGGGGGCGGCGGAGGGGGCAGAGGGGGCGGAGGCGAGCGGCGGATGGTTCTGCCGTCGGAGGCTGTCGGCTGCATGGAGCGCCGTCCTTTGGCGAGGTCTTTGGCAACCCGGCGGGGTACTCAACCATCAATGAATACACACTGATAGGCCGCTGTCCGCGAGTGCGTCGGCGACCCGGCGGGGGTGAATGATGCCTGCTCGTTTCGAGTCGATAGGCGGCCGTCCGCGAGGGCCTTGGCGACTCGGCGCGCCTCTTCGTGGCGGTGGACGCGCCGCGGCTGCAGGAGCCCGCCGCGGCTATATCTCGGCTACATCTCGGCTGTGTCTCGGCTGCATCTCGGCTCTAGTTTGGCCATGCTTCGGCCCTTCGCCGCGGCTGCTAGAGCAGCGGCCGGTCGAGGAGAGGGACGTTGCGACACTTCGGCTGATCCCGGCTGATCCCGGCTGATCCCGGCTGATCTCGGCTGATCTCGGTTGATCCCGGCTGGTCACGGCTGATCTCGGCTGATCTCGGCTGATCTCGGCTGGTCACGGCTGGTCTCGGCTGGTCTCGACTGCAGGAGCTGCTGCTGCAGCGGCTGGGGCCCTCTGCGCTGATCACACCCGGCGTGGGCGTCGACCCGACAAACGTGTTTCGCGACGGCGACGGCGCCTCGGATGCGGCGCGGCACCACTACGCCTCTCAGGTGACCGGCAAGCAGGACCTCGCGCGCCGGAACTTGCTCAAGGAGCGGGAGAGAGATGCCGAGAGGCGGCGAGGCTGTACCGGGGGAGGGAGGGGGGTTGCTGCCTCTTTTGCTGTGCATCCGTCGCACGGGGGAGGAGCGGGCGGCCGGCAACGCCCAAGTAGCCCCGCCGAGGCGGGTGCACGCCTCGAGGTCGCAATCTCGCCGCGATCTCGCCGCGATCTCGCCGCGCTCTCGCCGCAACAGGTGTCGCTCGACTACTTCATCCAGGGCTTCTGCCTCTCCTCGCTCACGCTGCGCGGCTCCGCCTTTTACAACTCCGCCGCCAGCCGCACCGCCGCCTTCCGCGCCTTCATCGGCGCCAACGCCACCGCGCCCCTCTGCCGCTGCCGCGCCGGCGACGCGTGCGGCTGCCAAGGGGGCGGCCGTGGAAGCCGCGGCGGCGGGCCCCGTGTGGAGCCTCCGCCCTGCGCCGCCGAGGTTGCGCGCGGCGGCAGTTGCCAAGGTAAGGTGTGCGGCCTCGCGCGGTGCAACCTGGTGTGATTGTGTGGGGGCTGAACGCCACGTGCACCGCGGGCCCCGCACGTTTTTAAAATGCCGTGGCCGCCACAAGATAAACCAACTCCTGCACCGTCCACCGACACGGACACTGTCACGTGAGACGTGTCAGAATCCGTTCAGTGAACCCGCCCCGGTCGGAACCACATCATTGCCTTGTCCAATTGCCTCATCGCGGCGTGGGCGTCTGCCGCGGCTAGGACCGCCGCCGTGCCAGGCCCAGAAAGGGGGTTGCCGCCCAGCCATAGCTCGGCGAGCCCGCTGCTGCTCAGCGCCTCAGCCAACGCGAACGCTGCGGGCTGGCCGAGCTCGTTGTCGTTCAGGTGGAGAAGCGACAGGTTGGGGGCGATCGCCGCCGCATGCGCCAACGCCACCCCTCCGCCATCGCCGATGCCGCACCGTCCCAATTGGAGCTTGCTTAAGCTGCTTCTCTCGCCGACGACCTCCGCTAAGCGAACCGCTCCCTCGGTGCCAATTGGGTTGCCGCCTAGAGGCGGAAATTACGAGGGGGCGTCGTGGTCGAACGCCTGGGTCAATATCGGTCCCAACTCTAGCTGGAGCATCTACGGTGCGCTACCGAGCATGAGCTCGCGTAGGCCAGCGAGCGTCCCCGCTTTGACCGCACCCGCCAGCCGTGCGACGCCAGCAGCGCATATGCCTATCGACCAGAGCCGGGGCGTGGCTCGCGTGTCTCCAGCCCTGTTCGGCACCCAACCAGCAAATGGCCGGCGCCATTTAACCCTAGGCCGAGAGCGATGAGGTGCCCAGAGGCCGCAAGGCATCCAGAAAGAAGATCGCCGACGCCCTCCGTCCCGAATCCGTTCCCGCTTAGCGTCAGCCTGCGGACGGGCTGCGCTGCTGCTGCAGCCTCCTCTAGCGCCTCGGCCAGCACCCGCGCGCCGGCTGGCCCGATTCGATTACCGTGGAGCCACAGGGTGCGCGCGGCGGTCTCCGCCAGCGCCATGGAGGGTTTCCTCGAGGAGAGCGCCTCGGCGTCGAGGTCGAGGTGCGACCTATCCGCCGTGGTGAGCGTGAACGGCGCCCGTCTCGCTCACAGCCGGCCCCATGGAGTCGGATAGCACCAATCCAAAATGGGGAAGCTCGTCTCGGTAGGAGCGGGGACACGCCTGGGCGAGAGCTTTGCCCGCCAAGCAGTATCCTCGTGGCCAGCGAACGGCTCGGGTTCGGGCAGAAATGCGGCCTCGATGGCGGCCGGGGCAGGCGGAAATCGAGGCGCGTCGAGTGACACTCGAACTCCCTTCCCACGCGCAGCGGCCTGAACGGCTATCGCGGCCCCCTCCTTTCGCTTCAAGTCCGTTCGCGCCTGCCTGCCCCGGACAGCCGCCTAAAGTAAAGTGGACCCGTTTTCCTTGTCGCCTCAGCAAGGGCGCAATCGAGACCATGTATCCAGCACGCCTGCACGAACGGGACACGATGCTCAAACACCGGCTCACCATCCCAAGCTGGATTCTCCAAGCCTGTATCTGGTTCGGTGGCCTGAGCGGCGATCGGAGCTTCCGCCGCCACCTCTGCCTCCTCCGATGCCACCTCGCTCGCCGTCCCGCCCTTGGCCTCGACCGCCTTGAGAGCAACCGCCGTTCGCACCGCCCGTCCCCTCTCAGCGGCGGCAAGCGCCGTTGCCGCCTGTCTCTCACTAGCCAGCGTCGCTCGAGCCGCCCTCCCCCGCTGCACGGCTGCCAGGGCAGTGGCAGCATCGTGCCGGGCATCCGGCAAACCGCCCGACTCATCTGCTTCCGCCTCTCCCGCGCCTTCTTCCTCCTGCACCCCTCCTGCCGGATGCGCCGCTGCGATCCTGCCGCGCTCAGCGTTACCACGCACCATTGCCTGCACCCGGGTGGCTGCCGCGTGGTCACCCACCACTCCGGGTGCTCGACCTCTGGCAAGTGTGGCCGAGTCGCGCTCCGCTGCCAGCGCCGCACGCGCCGACCTTCCTCTCGCAGCAGCCGCTAGCCTTGTCGTAGCTCGTTCGTGCAGCGGTCCGTATAGGTGCTCCGCTTGCGGTGCCGCTTGCCCCTCTGGCTCCGCCTCACCCACCGCCTCGGCGTCCGCCACCAAGGTGGGAGGTGGCGCCAGGCTGGGGTCCTCCGGAACCTCCTCTGGGGCAGCGGAGCGGGCGAGTTCAAGCTCCGCCTCTAGCGTGCCGATGCGCTGCTCGGCTGGGTCGGGTTGCTGAGCACAGTCGGCCGCGTCTGCCATTGCAGCGGCAAAAACGGCGACGAAACGGTAACGACCCTGGGGCGGTCAGCGTTCGTTGGTCCGCAAACCACAATGTCTCCTTTTCATTGCCCATGAGCCTTGACTGACTGACCGGGTTGCTCACTCGGTGGAGGCGACTCTTTGAGACACGTGTGACCTACGGCTTTACCTGACTGAGTGAGACCTTCTGTACAACACCTGAGGCCTTCTGCACACCTGCAGAGGACTCTCTAGACGTTCCCACATTCTTTTCCAACCTTCTGGACATCTTCTGGACACCTTCTGGACATCTTCTGGACACCTTCTGGACCTTCTGGACATCTCTGGACGCTCCACAAACCCTATTTGCGGCTTGAAGCCAGCCAGCCCGCTCCGCATTTGATGTGCCGACTCGTCCAAAGGCCAGTGTTTGCTTCGGCGATGGCAGCCCCTCTCCGGGGTGTTGCGCAGGCGGGGAGTCTCCCCCGCCGGTCTCCTCGTTCCATTTTTTCTTTTCTTTTGCGCGGGAGCAGGATTGCGATCTACGTTTGTTTGATTTTGAGGCTTTCGGAGGCTTTGGAAAGGAGGTTCGCAGCACCCTGAGTGAGGGAGGCGGCGAACCAGCTGAGCAACAAACTTTCGCACGCTCAGCACCTGGACGAGGTCACATGGACCACCAAGAACTGTCACGGGCTGCAGATGCAGCGCTTGTCTGTCGTCCTCCACACCGCCGTGGCGTGGCAGACGGTGAACGAGCTAGCGTGCGGGGAGAGCGGCATTGTGCACGGTGCGGAATGCATTGCCGTTCTTAACGGAGTCGCTTAAAGCGGGGTGTGGAGGGTGAGTTGAACAGGGGTTGTGCGCCAAGCCCTCCTGCTCGGCTCCAGCGAGTAGACAAGTGTTGTCATCAACAGAGTAGAAGGATCTGACCTCGGGGCCGATGTGACCAAGAATTGGTAGCGTGGTTTAACCTCACACCCATGGTCTCACAGTGTGCCGGCAGTCGCCGAGCAGTGTCGCTCACACAAGCCGCAGCACAAGTGACTGAGGGCCAGTGAGGGCGAGCCCATCGCTGTCACAGCTGTGGCAGCCGCACAGTAGGCTGTGTCAGCTGTGCAGAGTGTGTGAGCAGCAGAGGAGCTGCTCTCCAGGCTTCTGTCGCAAAGAGCTGCATGCCACCGAAAGCGCTGTCGAGGTTCGCCGAGCGCGGCGCAGGTTGGAGGACACCGTCACCGACGAGCGCGTTGGAGTATTCACTCCGGACAAAGACGGCCGCACGCACACGAGCTGCGGTCGTGCGGCCGTCATAGTGGCGAGGCGCGGGACCGTCTGTGGCGAGGTGGGTCGCGTCCTCCGATTTTGTTCAACCCAGCATCCACACCCTTAGGCGGCTCCGGTGGTGAGCCGGTGTGTGTGCCAGTCCGCGCCAGTCCGCGCCCTTGTCGTGCCAGTGTGCTGTGAGAGAGGCTTGTATTTTAAGAATTCTTTTGCGGATTGAACGCCGGGTTGGTCCTGTATGTGCGAGTGTGGGGTGTGTGGGTGTGTGGGGTGGCGAGGCGCGGGGTCGCGCGGGACGGGGATATTCAGCGGTTGTCGACTCGTCGAGGTCGGATATTTTTCAGATCAGATTCACGCTAGCTTGAAATACTATTTCTTCAACAGTTTCTGTTTCATTCTGTTTCTGAGGCAATTACTAATTTTCTGGGGAACAATAGTCAGCAAATTCCGCCGGAACATCATCGTGCTTTCCGCCTCGACAGCCCAAAAATCCAACCTTTCCATCGCCACTATTTCGATCTCCAGGTCCCGCGATGGAAAGCCTACTCTGGATCGCATCGGGCCCATTCCCGTAAATGGCTTCGCATCCTTCGGAAGCTGTTTCTTCTGGAATTCCATCAATAAAGCACAGGGAGAACTGGGCAATGTAGCGACCTTCTTGATGGCTACGCAGTGGACTGATATGGTTTGCTCGTAGCATATTGACGTACACCTTGTTTGTGCTTCTAATCAGTTCAAATACTTTCCATGCTGACAATTCTGGCTCGATGCGGTGGTCATTGGAACCAGTTACAATCATGGTGGGTGTCTTGTCTACCACAAAGTTTTCCAAATCAGGATTCTTCGAGGGGAGATAGACAGGATCCGGATGGTCCCCTACAATTGCCTGAAATTTCTGAATTGATTTGCGTTGCTCCTTTGTAATCATAGACGCGTATTTGGTGGTTGCGAGATACTTGGTTGGGTTGTCGACCAAAGCAGCCAACATCAAGACCGCACGGCCGCCAGTCGAATGCCCCGATGCAGAATAACCGGCACTAAAGTCAATTCTGTCGTCCCACCATCCAGAATGTGTCTCCAAAAAGGAAACGGATTTGAGTATTTCCAGGAAGGACCCGTTGCCGTTGTCGCACGAGAGCTGATCAATTGCACAGCTCAGATACATGGATACGACAAATCCCCGGCTGGCGATATCGTGTTGGATTCCATGATAGGCAGATCCCATGGGCCCTCCACCAAAGTTACCGTGTGCAAAGATGTGCAGCGGATTCTTCTTGCCATTGTTGGGATAACAAATCCTGGAGGATCGATAGATGTGCAGCGGATCCGGTAGAGATGGAGAAATCAGCTTCGGCATGTGCACAAGCCGACATTTGACTTCGACCTGTTTGTTGCCATTCAAAGCGACGAGCGTTGATGTTGACGGGAGCCAGTTCGGATCTTCGACCACGTCGGGCACCACCGGGCCGGGCGCGGGGTTGAACGGAGCAAACAGTGGCCCGCGCTCGGTCTCGGTCGGGAGCGCCGTCGCGTCGGGCACGACGATCGAAGGGAGAAGGCTGTCAGAGTCGTGCGAGAAGTAGGCGAACGCTCCGCCGCTCGCGATGAGGCAGATGAAGACGGTGCAGAGCACGTTGTGCCAGCAGAGCTTGGGCCACGAGAGCCAGCCGAAGGCGGAGACGGAGCCCTTCGGCGTGGCGGTCGTGGTCGTCTTGGGGTTGACCGTCGCGCCCTGAGCGAGGGGCGTGGTCGTCAGACTGGCGGTGATCTAGGGGCAACGGAGAATCCGGCGTATGCAGGCGGCGAGCACCGAGTCTGTCGTGGAGCCGCGGGGCGCCTTGCCATTGCCACCGACAGACTCGGGCGAGACCGACTCGAACTGCGGCCGGCGCGCGCGACGCGCTGTCAAGCAAAGGCGCGGGGCAGTGTGTGTCGTCTGTGTGGGAGGGCGTGCACCGAGGAATCCTTCTCCGCGCCCTTCTCCTTTCCCGCCTTCTCGTCCTCGTCCTCGTCGATCTCCGCCTTTACGTTCGTCTCGACGTCCTCGAGCAGATCGTACTTGTTGGAGACCTTCGTGGACTTGACCTCGCCCTTGCGCTCCGTCTTGTTGCGCGAGTTCGAGACGATCCAGTCGGGCTCGCCCTACGCATCGAACGCGCGATGGGGTCAGTCAGTGGGTCCGCAGACGCACGGCACAGAATGCGGCGCTCGCCGCCGGGGCGGGCTTCTCCTCTGGAAACTCCTTGGTCGAGACGTTCCAGCCGGCGTCGCCCTACGCAATGAACGCGGGGTGGGGTCAAGGAGTGGGTCGGCATGCACACGGCGCAGAAGCAAGGCGCTCGCCGCCTGGGCGGGCTCCGGAAACTCCTTGATCGACGGCAGCGGCTCGCCGCAAACCGCCGCCGGCTTGAGGGCCGTGGCGACCTTGGTGGCCGGCTTGAGCGCCGCGTTCTTGATGGCGCCGGTCTCGTCAACGGAGGCCTCCGCGCCAGACTCTGCCGCAGGGATGTCCTTCTTGAGGGCGCCCTCGACGGCGCCGTTGGGGCCGGTCGGGCGCGTAAACTTGGACCAAAAAACGGCGCTCGGCGCGTGGGCGGCGAACATGGCCTTGGCCTTGTCCGAGTCGACCGCGCCCGCGTCGGGCGCCTTTTCCGCGGCCGGCTCCTTCTTGAGAACGTCCTCCGTGCCAGACTTTGCCACGGAGATGTCCTCGACGTCGTTCTTGACGCCGCACGCCTGTGGGCGAGGGAGAGCACGCGCAGGCTTTCGGAGACGGGAGAGGGATGATCACAAAGGGATGATCACAATCCTGGCGTGCGCACGCGCACCTTGGCTCCGAGGAGCGAAGTGGCCTTGGCCTTGTCGGAGTCGACCGTGCCCGCGGCGGGCGCCTCTGCCGCGGCCAGGTCTTTCTTGAGGATGCTCTCGTCGGAGGCCTCCGCGCCAGACTTTGCGGGGACGTCCTTCACGAGGGCGTTCTTGGCGCCGCACGCCTAGGGCCAGGGACGATACGGCGGCGTTTGGGACGGGAAGATCGCGCTGAGAAGATGAAAATGCGCACGGACAGGCACCTCGGCTTTGCCTCCGCCAGAGTCGATGACGGTCGTGTTGTCCGCCAGAGACGCCTGTCAGCCACAGAACGCGAGAGGGTCGTCTTGCAGGGAAGGCGCAGCGCTGCGTGCGTTGCAGCGGTGCGCGTGTGCATGCCCCCTCCCTCAGCCACTGCAAATTAACGCACACCTGCTTGTCAGCAAGCGGCGGCGGAGCAGAGAGCTTGAGCATGAGCTTGTCACCGGCGGCCGGCACGAACTCGAGTTTGAGCATGTTGATCGAATATGAATTCCTGCAGAGAGTCAAGAAGCGGTTAGCTGCCGGCACGCTCTCTCGCGTCCTCGGCGCTCGGACTGGAGCCGGGCGCGCAAGCGAGAGCGGGTCGCTCTCTTGCCAGAACAGAGGGAGGGCGGTCGCGCGGGACAAGGGTGGGGAATGGGCAGCAGCGGACGCGTCTCGCGCCCTCCTCAATGGCAGCGGCTGCACCTGCGAGCGGGAGTGGGCAGGCGGTGCGAGGCCGAGGGGGTACAGCCGCTCGCGCGACGAGCGAGGCGCATCGCGTGGTGGGGGTGGTGAGGGGGCGGCGGGTTCCGTGAGCAATACGCGTCGCGGGGGTCTAGGCGTGCAGCTCGCGGCGGCATAGTCGGGCGCAATGCGGCGCGGCAAGCGCGAGCGGACGAGCAAAGTGCTTGGCTTGCCTGGTGTGGATGTCAGGCAAGGGCCGTCGGTTTCGATCAAAAAGGGCGTCTTCAGCACTACTCTCTCGAGGTCTCGCGGAGTGAAAAGCCCCCCCCGTGGCTGTTCTTCACCTTACTACCTACCTACCTACCTCTATCTGAAGGCTCGTGCGTGTCGTCATCATCTGTCCAGCGTCCACCCATACCGCGTTGGTGTCCAGTCCGAGCCTGGCTGTTCTTCACCTTTCTACCTACCGGGGCTCTTTTTTGAGGAGGTGGCGATCGCGCGACGTGGTCCCACCGACATAATCCATGTCAATCACGTCTGGCACGGCAGGCCCTTTCGGCAAAAGTTCGCCACCTCTGCACCTCAGGGTCTGGACGGCCGCGCGAGAGGTGGGTTGTGCTTGAGCGTGTGTGAAGTGGGAGTGCGTGCCGGCGGTGTCTGTGGGTAAAACAGGCGTGTGTGAGGCCGTAAGAGCCGTGGTATGAGCCAGAGTGGGCTTCATCACCCAAAATAAGGGCGGTTTGGGACAGCTCAGACTTGATACTGATGGGCCTTGGCCAGGAGAGAGACAGAGAAGGCGAGGTGGTGAGCTGGGAAGCCGCTTTGTCTGCACCTGGACGTGTCGCGATGAAAAGTGCCAAGAAGCGCCTTTTGCGGCTATTGCTCAAAACCTTTGGAGAGAAGGCCTACATATTATGACTGCATCCACGCGTCTGGTGCATGAGTGCTGTGGATCGGGACATTTCACGGTCGGTGGCGCCGACAATGACCTCCGTAAAGCCCTCACAATCGCTCAGCACGGCGAGGACGGTTCATGTCTGCACTGCGATTGATCCCGACATGTCGCACGGGCCCGATCGACTGGCAGCGGAGCCGGGGACCGGCCGAGGCACCGAGCTCCATCGATGGGAGCAGTAGGAGCAGGGCCACCATTACAGCCAGCGTAAAGAGCGGCGCCCGACGGAGAGCTGACGAGGCACCTTCACGGCGGAGCTATTCTCGCGCCCACACACCACACCTGGCTCCAACGTGGACACGCCCATAGCTGGGGACACTACTAGGTCACGCATGGCATCATAAGTTTTATCTCTGGGCCCCGAAAGGCATCTCTAGCAGCGTCGTTACGCATGCGCCCTCCCCTCCTGGGCGCATGCGCCTCACATCTCGCCAGAGCATAAGCTCTTGGTGTGCGACGAGACGAGTTTTTCGCACACACACACGACCCAGCGAGTGAGTGAGTGAGTGAGTATTACACACACAC